TTATCGACCGCGTAAGACGCGCAACACTCCGTACAAATCTCGTGATGTTTTGAATTCCATTCGCATAGAAGTACGTAACCACATTTTAAACCTCACAGCCTCGCAGTTTTGTCATGCGCCTGATAAGATTTGCACTCGTGGAGCTCCGGGTAAAAGAGGRCAAAGGGGCCGAAGAGGAAGAATAGGTCTTAAGGGAATGAAAGGCAATCCTGGAAAATATGGTAAGCAAGGATTTCGAGGACCTCCTGGACTAAAAGGAATTAAAGGCGATACAGGGAATCCYGGACCAAAGGGACAAAAGGGAGATAATGGRAATCCTGGACCGCCAGGATCGCCGGGACCGAAAGGGGAACCAGGTGGAAAGCTTTCTCAGCCTTCAGTACTTGTTTCACCATCGACATTCACAGTTACTGAGAACCAGACTGCTACCTTTCATTGCAATGCTCAGGGTAATCCAAAACCAAAGATAACATGGAAAAAAGAATCTGGAAAGATTGATTTTGTTAAAACCAGAATAGATAAATCAGGATTGTTTGAAATCTCAAATGTTGATGAAAACGATGCAGGTAACTATACATGTTCCGCAAAGAGTGTTCTCGGAGAGGATGCAAATAGAGTGTCACTTCTTGTCAGATGTAAGTAAAATAACTGAATTTCAGTATTGCTTATTGAATTCCAAAGGATATCGATTTGAATAGAGCTTATCGGCTAACGCGTTGCTATAAAAGTTTAATCTACCCATGCAAACCACCCAAGAGTAAGTTTCGTTGTTCGTTGTATTTTCATTTCACAGATGAATTCTTAGAAAAATGCTTTTTTTTAATTGGGTGGTAACGACACGGCAACGCGTTAGCCGGTTAAGTTTATTAGTGTCATCCCTTATTACGTTCTAAAGATATTAGCTTGTGCTAATTGACTATGATCAAGCGTTTTTTTTCTCAGCCAAGTTTCTTATTTTTCTTGTACCATTTTTTTCTTCATACAAAATGCATGTTTTTTTACATTATTGAAATACATTCTTACAGTTACTTACAAATTCATTCAACCTAGTTCTATGAATTTGACTAAAGAATCAAGAAAAAAGTGCAAAGATCAATAAATTATCCTTCATTTTTATGACATAAATTATATCAATACAACTTTCTTATATATGTTCAGAGGTGCTTTTTTCGACATCGACTATATTGAGTGTCGATAGGCAAATTGGTTAGTTTTGATTGAATCTTACATAATTCTAGACACTTGCTGACTCATGTTTAGGGATATTTATAATTGCATGTTTGTGTTTGCCAGTTCCACCGAGGCTCACCAAGGTACCAGAGTCATTCCAAACTGTCATTCAAGGAAGTACTGTCAATTTGATATGCACTGCATCGGGTTATCCACCACCAATAATCACGTGGTCAAAAGTTCATGGTTCTCTTCCATCAAAACGGAGTCAACAAAATGGCGGAAAACTTACAATCAGAAAATTTGAGTTAAGTGACAGCGGGTCTTATCAATGTGTAGCTGTAAATTCGTTGGGTAGAAAGACTCTTTACAAGTCATTGAGCTTCGGTAAGCCATTGGTGTCTTGATTATAATGATGAATTAGAAAATAATACATTCTGAATTAAAGAAGAGATCAATGTAGATGTAACGTAGAAGGAAGTTATGACGTATTCCATGTTTCCGTATTTTGTTCCGTAACTTTCTTGGAAATAATAGCAAGCGTTACTTTCGTATAGCATATCTTACCTCACTTTTGAATAATTAACTTTACACAGAAAGATGTAAAGATGGCGATGCACTTGGCATGCAAAGTAAAGCCATTCCAGATTCAAAAATTACCGCTTCGTCGAATGCTGGTTCAAGGTGGCTCCCATATTATGCTAGACTGAATGCAGCCCTTGGAAGTGGTGGATGGGCAGCTAAATCTAATACACTAGGAGAATGGATACAAGTTGAYTTGAGCAAAGTAACCAGAATTACAGCTATTGCTACACAAGGCCGTTTTTCGGCAAGTTATTCGGACCACTGGGTTAAAACATACAATGTGCAGTACAGCGACGATGGAACTAGCTTCAAAGGCTATGAAGGGGGAAAGACTTTACCTGGAAATTCGGATCAAACAACGGTTGTAAAAAATAACCTTGATCCTGCTATAACTGCCAGGTATATCAGACTTATACCAAAGACATACCATAGCCACATGGTAGTTAGAATGGAACTTTATGGATGCCAACTATAAAATCAAACTGTAAATGTAAAAGGCTATTAAGAAAATCATTTTTATCAAAAGAGATCATGCCGCTTAGCACCTCTACGCAAAAAAAAAAAAAAAAAAAAAAAAAAAAAAAAAAACTGATTACAAAGGGGAGAAAATATCTGAATTTATACCGTTGTGTCTTGATCTTTCCAAATCCTCCCACTGGGGATAATGATATTTGTGGAAAGTGACACTTATGGGCATCAAAGAAATTACACTACTCGTATATGCATACATTGAGCTTCCATTCATAATTAAGACGGCATCCATCCGTTGGTTTGTAAAATAACTACACTTACCTCCTCCAAGATGGCGGCTGTGACGCAAAAGGAAAACGAGAAATCTGGTGGTTCGTTTTTATATTTTCAAGATAAATCTGAAACTTTATGGATGGAAGCTAACTTCACAAAGTATATTTCCTTGTAGTATTTTCTTCGCGTGCCCAAACTAACGTCCGCACAGAATATTTGATTCCAGCACTATATTCTTTGGRTGTCTCTCTGCACGTTTCTCATACTTGCACTGGATATATCTGTCACGCAATATCAAAAGTCACCATAGTCACCATTTTATTTCTTATGCCAACTTTTAATAAGGCTAACTTTACAGAACGAAATCAATATAATTAGATAAAAACAATTTAAATCATTTGGATCGAAAAAGAAGAATCGAAGAAAATAACTGGATTATTTACTTTTTATAGATTTGGCTTTTGTTGTAATTCCTCACAACTAGATTTCAGTGAAGGAGATGAATGAGAGGTCAWATGAAGGCATAATTTCCTCGAAATGAGATTGATTATAACCCTTTTGATGTATATGTAGGTTCTTAAACGTCTCATTATAAGCAGAGTCTATACATTTTTTAACTTATTCTCGTTATTTTGTGGCCCATTTGATTGGGAAGCAAAGTGTATAAAATATGTTTATATATTTTTACTTCTGTAGTAACTTAACTTTAGCACACTATATCACTTATAAAAGTGTTTTTTTTTTTAAGTTGTGGGTACCCTGTGGTAAATTCGTTATTCGACATTTGACCATGCTCTACGGCAGAAATGTTTCCAAATATTTCATGTGTAACTCAAACAACCCCTATCTATTACTTAACAGGAAAAAAGATAACTAAAATTTTCCCGTTGTGGGAACCCTGTGGTAAATGTCGATTTAAATTATGCCCAGTTTGACAATGTTAAACCACAGGAATTTTTGCGAATTTTTAGTATGTTACTTAGCTAACCTCTATCTATTGTTAAGCAGTGAGAAAATTTCTTTTACAATTTGTTTGACCTTAAATCACAGGATGACTGGACTGTTTGCTGCAAAGAACGCCAAACTAATGTATTCATGGAATTTTAGTCCTCTTTTTGGAGAGAATACTAGAGAAGTAAGATATTTCAATGCGAGATCGTTGGATCGTTTCAAAGAATCTCAAGCTGCATGAGCCGAAAGAGGAAGTGAGACCTCATGACCTGCGCCTGCGGATCAAATTCACAACATTCACAATGAAACGTGCCTGGTCCTATATCTTATAAGTAATGTTATATTCTTTACGTACTTACTACATTGTAGTCTCATCAGTACACAGGTCGACTGAATCACCAATATGCCAYTTTCAAAAGATCCTGACAAAACGTATCATTGTAGCCACACAAAGTTCTTCATTATCACATTCCTTTCGCATACATTGCTACTTTGTGCAGGCATCGTTCCTTTGTATATCACAACAAATCATCGTCTGGTGACTGTCGAAGATCGCGTAAGGCTGCATGACATGGAACTCAATTCTTGTTGTCTTATGAAAGTGACATATGCAGGTAATTTTCAAAGTAGGGACGTCCGTCTCGACTGAAACGACGCGAATACAGTCTTGTTMTAGTTATGAAGCCTTTATTCAAGTTTATACGGTGTATAAATGAAATGGCAGCCWTAGTAAATAATAGTCTTTTATCAATATTTTTATATAAACATCATCATGATGTTTTCGAGTTGCACCAGAAATTTAAGCGTCACAAGCAAAAGAATAACAAAGAAGATATGCGATATCGACTATCGCCTAACTTATACAATTGAAGTAGGAAGTTCTCCTAAGCACACTTTCTTTACGCTTTTTAGCCGTATTTCAATGTATTAACGTGTTCATAACTAATAACGTCATCAAACTCAGAGGTTTAAAACAGTCTTTCTTGTCTTTTAATTATCTAAACCAGATTAATCATTTTGATTCAGCACCAACACCTATATTTGTTTTTCTTTACTTGCTAACAGATGAAGAGGAAACAAAGGTCACACTGAATAGAGAAAATCTTGACCAGACGCAATTTATCAAACGTTTAAGACGCAACACTCCTAACATATCTCCAGATGTGTTGAATTCCATTCGCATGGAATTACGTAATCACATTTTAAACCTCACGGCCTCGCAGTTTTGTCAAGTGCCTGATAAGATTTGCACTCGTGGAGCTCCGGGWAAAAGAGGAAAAATTGGGAGAAGAGGGGCTCGAGGAAGAAGAGGTCGAYYAGGTCCTAAAGGTACAAAAGGCCTTCCAGGAAAATATGGTAAACAAGGACTGCGAGGACCTCCTGGACTAAAAGGACAAAAGGGHGATATCGGAAATCCAGGACCGCCAGGACTGACSGGACCGAAAGGGGAACGAGGRGAACAGGTTTCTGAGCCTTCAGTACTTATTTCACCATCGATACTGACAGTTACTSARAACCRGACTGCTACGTTACATTGCAATGCTCACGGTAATCCCAAACCAAAGATAACATGGAAAATAGAATCTGGAAAACAAATTGATTTTGGTAAAACCAGAATAGATAAATCAGGATTGCTTGAAATCTCGAATGTGAATGAGAACGATGCAGGAAACTACACATGCTCTGCAAAGAGTGYTCTTGGAGAAGATGCAAACACAATATCACTTCTTGTCAGATGTGAGTAAACGAGATTTATTCGCTTTTTTTATCTTTCACCGGAGATTTGAAAATTTAGAATTTAACATTGTAGCATTTCATTTCAATTATGGATTGTTTGATCCTTCGACCCTTTTCAGGAAAAAGTCAGGTCCAACTTGAATTCACACGTATGCTCATGAAAACCTTGCAAAAATGCTCCAGCCTGTAGTCTGGGGCAGGGCTCGGACGAACCCACCAMAAGCTCAAAAGGTCCGGTGTCTCTCTTATTTTTTATTGTTTTATTTTAAAATTCTTTTGTTTTGAAGTTCTTACATACAGTCTACGGATCTGTTGCTATTAATATTCCTGTAGGATTTTTCAATTTTTACAAGACAAGAAAATAGCAAAGGCGATACTTGGATTTGACTGTAACGCAAACTAACCTATTATTCAATCTACGTTTTGCTTACTTTCCGCTTATATTTTTTTGATATTTTTGTCTGCAGGCTCAGTTTTTGTCTGAACCGCTGAGCGGTTGATATAATTTCTTTTATAGTTCCGCCTAGATTCACCGAGGTACAGAAGCCATTCCAAACAATTCTTCAAGATAGTACTGTGAATTTGAAATGCGCTGCATTGGGTTACCCACCACCCATTATCACTTGGACTAAAATGCTTGGTTCTCTTCCTACAAAACGAAGTCACCAAAATGGCGGGAAACTGACCATAACTAGATTCCAGAAAAGTGATAGTGGATCTTATAAATGTGAAGCTGTGAACTCCTTGGGGAAAAAGACATTCTACACGAYATTAAGCTTCATCG